TGCAATGGCTGCTTTGGGTACGCGGTCCAGACCTCCCCAGAGACCCTGGCTGACAGAGGAGGTGTTCAGGATGGTTGAGAAAAAGCGACAGGCCCACTGTCATCGGCTACAGAATCCCACGTCAGAGAATGAGGAGGCTTACCGCAGCCTTCGCTCGGAGGTTCGGAGAGCCGTGAGGCGCTGCAAGGATGGGTGGTGGTCGCGGGTTGCTGAGGAGATGGAGTCTGCCTCAGTGGCCCGTGATCTCAAATCTCTATTTAACTCCATCAAAAAAGTAACCTGCAGCGCCACACCTATTACCATCATTAGGGGAAAAAACGGTGAACCAATCTCCGACCCCCAGGAACAGGTTTGCAGATTTGCTGAGCATTTCTGTGAGGTTCTGGGGGAGGGAAAATCCTTCAGCCAGGAAAACATCGTGGCACAAAGTGAGGATGACCCTGCTGAGGCTGCGGTGCCTCAATTATTGGAAGAAGTCACCCCCTGTGAGTGGCTGGCTGAGGTGCCATCTGTTGAGGAAGTACTGAAGGCGATCCGGAGTCTGAGACCAGGAAAGGCAACGGGCAGAGATGATCTCCCAAGCGAAATGCTGAGGGAGGGTGGCGTTTGTGCACAGACTGCCCTATATGACATCATAACAATAGTCTGGACCACTGGACAGGTTCTGCAGGATTGGAATGATGCCCTGGTGGTCCCCCTTTTTAAGAAGGGGGACCGCACAGACTGTAACAACTACAGGGGCATCTCACTCCTCAGTGTGCCGGGAAAGGTCCTGGCAAGGATTATTCAGCATCGCCTTGCCAGGCACGCTGAGGAGAGGCTTGCGGAGCCCCAATGCGGTTTCAGGAAAGGGCGGTCCTGCACAGATGCCATATTTTTTGTCCGTCTGCTACAGCAGAAGTGTAGGGAATTCCAACAATACCTACATCTCTGCTTTATTGACCTGGTCAAGGACCTATGATACCATCAGTAGGCCTGGGCTCTGGGTTGTTCTTCGTGCTTTTGGAGTACCTGATCCTCTGCTCACGATCATTAAGGACCTTCATGATGGTGAGCGGGCCCGGGTAAAACTACGTGGCCGGGAGTCAGAGCCATTCCCTGTACACCTTGGGGTGCGACAGGGATGTCCTCTGGCTCCCACATTATTTAACATCTATTTTGACCATGTAGTTCGTAAAGCCTTCAATAGCTGTACCGGGGGAATCACCATATGGTACAGATATAATGGGAGGCTGATCGATGCCCGGGTGCGGTCAAGGGATGGCTCCCTATTGCTCAACCACGTTATGTATGCTGATGATTTGGTAATAGCTGCTCATTCAGAGGAGGAGTTGGAGACGCTGCTGCTGAGACTGGAGCGTGCCACTAAGAGATGGGGCCTTACCATCAGCCCCACCAAAACTAAGCATCTGCCTGGGTATTTTGTACCATAGGACACTCCACCCCCACAACTCCCAATCGGTGATGGGGCAGTTGTGGAGCGAGTGGAGAGTTTCCCATACCTGGGCAGTGTGCCTATGACCGGCTCCAGTTTAACAGCAGAGGTCTCACTCCGAATCAGTCGAGCGGCAATATCTTTTCATCGGTTGCGTAACGCTGTGTGGAAGCTACCTGGTCTGTCGCTCCGCACTAAGCTTCAGGTCTTCTTGGCCACGGTCATTCCCTCCCTTCTCTACGCTTGCGAAACGTGGACGCCCTAATAGAACATCTTCGCCGGTTAGAAACATTTAGGCTGGCCTGCCTACGATCCATCCTGGGTTTAACCAGACTGGATTGTGTGAGGAGCTCACAAATCCTTGAAAGATCTGGGCAAGGTCCCATCGGTGAGCTCCTCCAGCGGGCAAGGCTGCGATGGCTGGGTCATGTAGCCCGCATGCCCAGCCACCGCATGCCGAAACAGCTTTTGTTCGGCCGGATTGAGGGGGCTAAACGGGCACGGCACGGGCTAGAGAAGAGATGGAGTGATGTGGTACAGTAGGACATGGAGCTGAGTGGACTTGCCGATGACTGGTACCAGCGGTGTCAAGATCGGCCTCTGTGGAGGAGGCTCGTGAAGGACGCTGCTGGGCAGTTGGAGGTAGTCGCCCTCCAACAACAACGGAGGGCGGAGGAGCGACGCTCACAACAACGAGCGGAGCGCCGGGTGGCTAAAGCACAGCAGGTTGGCACAGTAGGGGGCACAGGTGGTGCATCAGCCAGTCATCTCAGTCAGTCGACCCGTGGCACCTGGGTCTGCCCCGTGACCTCCTGCCAGCGGGCGTTCGACACTTCACGTGGCCTCAGGGTGCACATAGCCTGGCACAAGCGACGTGGTGACGTCACCGCCACTTAGTTGTGAATGGCGGTTGTTGTGGTTGTTTATTGACCTGGTCAAGCCTATGATACCATCAGTAGGCCTGGCCTCTGGGTTGTTCTTCATACTTTCGGAGTCCCTCACCCTTTGCTCACGATCCTTAAGGACCTTCATCATGGTGAGCGGCCCCGCGTCAAACTACGTGGCCGTCAGTCAGAGCCATTCCCTCTACACCTTGGGGTGCGACAGGGATGTCCTCTGGCTCCCACATTATTTAACATATATTTTGACCACGTAGTTCGTGAAGACTTCAATGGCTGTACCAGAGGAATTACCATATGGTACATATACAATGGGAGGCTGATCGATGCCCGGGTACGGTCAAGGGATGGCTCCCTATTGATCAACCATGTAATGCATGCCGATGCTCTGGTGAATCCTGCTTACTCAGAGGAGGACTTGGAGGCACTGCTGCTGAACCTGGAGCTTGGCACTAAGAGGTGGGGCCTTACCATCAGCCCCATCAAATCTAAGCACCTGGCTGGGTATTTTGTACCATCGGACAATCCACCCCCACAACTCACAATTTCTGATGCGGCAGTTGTGGAGAGATTGGAGAGATTCCCATACCTGGCCAGTGTGCTCATGACCAGCTCCGGTTTAACGCCAGAGGTCTCACTCCAAATTATCTTTTCATCGGCTGCGTTACGCTGTGTGGAAGCTACCTGGTCTCTCACTCCGCATGAAGCTCCAGGTCTTCTCGGCCACGGTAATTCCCCACCTTCTGTACGCTTGCGAAACATGCACCCACCTAATGGAACATCTTCGCCGGTTGGAAACATTTAGGCTGGCCTGCTAACGATCTACCCTGGGTTTAACCATATGTGTGTGTGTGTGCGTCTAAGTCGATGTGTTTCTATGTGTGTGGGTCGATGTCTGTGTGTAAGTCCATGTGTGTCTGCCTTTTTCGCCCGGGCAACGCCGGGTACTTCCCGCTAGTTATTTATAAATGTGTCGTAACCCTCCACCACCCGACCTAGCCAAACAGTAAAAAATGTGTCACGTTTACAAAGGACAAATACTTCACTACTTTAGCCCACCAGTGTGTTGAAGAGTGAATCAACATCATTTAAAATTTGAGTGAGACTTTTCGCTGGTAATTACATCCAGCATCATCGGGCAATTGGCCAGAATGGTAAAGCCCTCACTTGTTCCCGGTCTTAAATAGAGCAGCAGGGTGACATCATCATTTAACTATTTGTCCTTTGTAAACATGACACATTTTTTACTGTTTGGCTGTGTCGGGTGGTGGAGGGTTACGACACATTTATAAATAACGCGATCTAACCCAAAAACCTTTATTATGAATAATATTGGTCGCGAAAGCCTACGTGTTAAACAGATAGTTACTCAGTTGAAATTTATCAGCAAGGCGACATCCTGCTGATGAGAATGTTGGAACCGGTCCAGGGACTGTTTTCTAAAAACATATGCTACTGGAATTCACTCATCCAGAAGGTTCAATAGTAAATGTATTAAATGCTATTTTGATATATGTACAGTATATAAAGTAGGTAAGTGTAAATTGTTCAAGCAACGGGGGTTCTGCCACGATAGACCAAAAAAACTAAATCATGGCGTTGGAGGGTTAATTATTAACAGTGGACAACGGTGACAAAACAACATCAACCTTTGTCTCTTCCCTGCTGGATGGAGGGCCTCCCCACACCTTCACCATCCCTCATCCCAGTCCTGTACCGCCAAAATCCATTTAATTTCCTAGACATTAACTTATCTCATCACTCCATCTCCTTGATGGCAATCCTCTTGGATGCACTCTCTTTTAGCGACCATGCCATCACCACTATTATACCTTCCAACGGTGTGTCCTGCCCAAACCTGCTTAACTTTTTAACAGTTAATAATGTGTTACAGCCAAAGGAGGGAACGCATCAAAAATATATTCAGCACAAAGACGGATTAATGAAATCTGCTTGTGTGCAGGTGCTAAATGGATTGTTACATCATGGCTTGGAGGCCTTCATTCCATATGTGGCTTGATAATATAATATCTATTGCAAATCCATCCTTGTTAGATCTTTATAATTTAACCTGAAGAAACTCCAACAGTTGCAAAAACATCCTACCCATCTCATCCTCCGTAACGGTCATCCTCAACTAGACACCTTTCCTCCGTTCCCTTCAATGGCTTCCTATCATCTCCAGCAGGGTCGAGCTACAACATGGCCCTGCCTGTGCCACCACCGTACCTCTACTCTCGGTCGTCCACCATCTCTCTTCACTCCTCTCACCCTGCACCAGAGCTCACGGTAACAATCCCCGCAGCAGTAGTAACAGCAGCAGCATCGCGACTCACAACCTCCTCTCTACACCGAGGACCAGGACGATGGTCACTGCCAGGCGCCGTTTCTCCGTAGCAGTCCCCAACGTCTGGAACGCCATCCCGCTGCACATTCGTAGCATTCAATCTACACCTACTTTTAAGAGACACTTAAAAGGCCCACCTCTTGCCTGGCTTTTGAGTGGCACCAAGCATGGCTAAGTTTGTTTCCAGACAAATGTGCTCTCTTCAATCAACGAAAGTCGTTGCAAGCTAATGTTGGACATATAAGTTACCGGGAAGGGCGTGCAATTGTGTACAAGCTTGGTGTACGTGTGCAAAATGCATGTTGGTGCATGTGCAGACCCAGCTGCAAGTTGGCGATGGCCTCGTCATAGTTCTCCAGCTCCAGCTGGCTCTGGCCCATGAAGAAGTGGCCCTTGACCGACTGGCTGTCAAGTTCCAGCGCATGCTTGCAATCGGAAACCGCCTTCTCCCACTGCTGAAGCTTGACGAAGCAGAGCGCACGGTTCGTGTAGTACGCCGCCACAAGCGAGTTGCGTGTCTGTCGAAGGGAGAGGTGCACACAGTCAGGCAGTGACTGTTAGAGCATCAACACGTGTTTTTCAGTGGTCGAAATGGGATATGACCAACAAATGTTTAACGGCACATTTAAACATCAATACACCAAATATTTACCCAACGCGGGGGGGGGGTTGTGTTCTTGAAAATAGCCACAATCACCAAAACCATGATCCACTAACTCAAAGGCATTATGGGAAAAAACATAGTCTTTTTTCATATTACGCTACATTAACACAAACATAAAATATGATTACTATTTGCTAGTGTTAAATGTAGCTCGTACAGTAAATATATAGAATGAAAAAAAAATAGGACAAGAAAAATCGCGCGGCTAAACCTCGTTGCCTCTGGATGCTGGCCACACGTGAACTAGGACCCGCGATGAGCTGTATCACAGAGAAAGATCGCGTGTGTACTTATGCAGCAGGATCATCGCGAGCAGTGCAGTTAGAGGACAGTGCTTCTTTACGATGCACACAGGAATCTTGTGGTCAAATGCGAATGGTCAAGCAATAGGGGCACAATCGGCAAAATATACCTCAAGAAATTTGGCATAAACAGTCAAATCCACGAGGGGCAAAGTTTGAGTGTACATTGGAGAACACTCAAACTTAACCCATCCTTGGTTTTCCCTGTTTTAATTATACATACATTAAATAGTACAGTATTTTCTTATAATAGTAATACATTTATACATTGTTATATCAAATTACATGAATAATAGGAGGCAAATAATATTGTACAATTCATAAATGCATAGAACAAATCATTTTCTCTGAACTAAATCACCAATCAAAGTAATTACTTTCAAAACACTTATAAGACCTAGCTCACAAACACCTGGAACTTAATGCTAAATCCGTAGCTGCAGGGCAGCCATTTGTGGGTTTTAACTATTAACACACAAAAATCCATAATACAGGTTTTTGGGGATTTTGTTGGTTAGATTATATAGGTTATGCATAAATATACGCGATCTAACCCAAAAAACCTGTTTTATGGATGATACTGGTCACAAAAGCCTGTGTGTTAAACACTGAAAAAGTTCAATAAAATTGAAATGAACAAAGTACCCAAATAATGGCCTCTATGTTCACCATTCACAACCTGTTAGTCATGTTCTGATTGCTATCTATGTATAGTGTGTGTATCTCACGAGGCACACACAGAAGTCTGGAGGCACCACGATTTATTAACTGAACAGGGCTACGGGCTAACAATAACTGGGGTTATTCTAGACCCCCAAAGGGGTCTCTATGTAAACTGATTCCCAACGAACGACGCTCCAAGACCCCTGAAGCAACGCCGCACGGTTAACTCTTCCCACCAGACAACCCCGATTGCTCTGCCTCCGTCCCTCTTATTATCTCGAGCGTGGCCTCGCTCCGCCTCCGGCCACGCCCTTTCCTCTCGCGATAGAACCGGAGCCAGCGTCACATGTCCTCGGGGCCCCCGTTTACGGGCCCCCTTCACTAGTCGGTGTCAGCACATCCCCTCTCTCTCTCTGGGACGGGACCCTGCTTTGTAGGGACCTGCTTCCCCACCACGTCTCCATCGGCCCCATCGAGAGGTATGTGCACACTTATTTACCAGTTGTGGTTGTTGTCGGCTTATACGCTGTAGAGACGCTATTTACGGCTATACATTACCCCCCCCCTTCATGAAACGCAGCCGTCTCGGCTAACCGACATATAACCCGTGCAACGTGTGGGCCTCCAACTTTTAACGCAACAACAACATTAAATAATCCCGACGAGGAATAAAACGATATTTACACTATATACAGGACCAGGGAGAAGAAGAGTGGGAGGGAAGGGAAAAATAAAAGTTGCAACTATTTACAATGGCCGACCCACCCCCCGGACAGCCCACAACTACACCCCGCATATGTAACACCGCACACGAGCACAAGATGAGCCCGGGTCGCCCATTGACTCATCTGGCTCGAGCAGCGACCACGGGTGTAGGTGCACTTTAACGCCGGAAGGTGGTCATTTAAATCGAGCAGTCTTTGCCCGAGTCCTTGATGCCGGGCCATCAAGCGAGGAGAGTGCGGGCCCCCCCTGGAGGTTCCGGGAACAGCCGGAAGATGACTCGATGAGCACGGGACCTCCAGAGGCGAAGACCCGCCAAGCAATGGGGGGGGGGGGGTCGGGCAATGGCGGATCCGGACTCCCCCATCCACCCTGGGCCGGCACTACCGGTGACGTTGGGGGCGTTAGGCGCTTGGACCCTGTGGGCGGAACAATAGAACTGTCCTGAGGAAGGACATCAAGTCGACGCGCGCCCCAGCTCATCGGACTGACCAGACACCCGGCCCTCGGGAAGTGGAGATGAAAGACTAATAAGGCAGGTGGAAAAAAACGTTTTAGCCGCCACGGGTACACAAACCAGCGGCGGCGACCACAATGAATCCGCACGTACTGCGGACTCCTCACCTCCACCACTTCGACCGGGCCCTGCCATGGTTTGTGTAATTTGGGGGAGGTACCCATCGGGACATGGGGACAGTGGAGCCACACCTTGTCCCCTGGTGTCCATAGAGTCGTGGACTGGCGGGGCCTGACGAGGCATTCGTTGGCCGCCTGCCGCAAGGCCGAGTTGCTCCGAGACGTCTCCCTAGCTTTCGCAAATCGCTGTAGGGTAAGACGCATGGGGTTCGAAATCTTTGTACAATTTTCCAGCGGCTTGAGCTGCACATCAATTGATGGGTCACGCTCCCTTCCATACATTAAAAGGAACGGAGAAAGACCCGTTTGAAGCATGTGGGGCGGAACTATATGCGGCGAGCACGCCCGGAACATGTAAGTCCCAGTCTGACTGGGCTTCATTGACACGTTGGCACAACATCGAAGTCGGGGTTCTGTGTAACCTCTCCACCATACCGTCTGTCTGGGGGTGAGATAAGGCGACGTGCGTACCTTTTTGGTACCCAATTGCACATAAACATCTTTCAACAGTTTTGATGCAATTTTTTTGCCCTGGTCCGTCAAGAGTCGTTCAGGGGCGCCTTTATCCAATACGTAGCCATGAAGGAACGCGCCCGTGATGGTTTCAGCTGACTGGTTTGGTAGCGGCCAGACCATTGGCCAACGCGACAAATAAAGATTTATTCCCCCGCGAAGTGGTGGGGAACGGACCGAGAACATTGAGTGTGGCGAGTTCATTCACCCGGGAAACGCAGATGGATTTCAGCGGCGGGCGATCCGCTCTCGAAGGTTTGCGGCGAGTGCATTCTGTCAACCCTGCAGCATGTTATAAACGTCGTCAGCCATGCCCGGCCAGAATAAGTAAATTATTAGAGTAGCCAAGGTTTTGTGGACACCAAGGTGCATTAACCGCTCGTGCTCCGCACATATAACCTTCCCCCGCAGAACGAATGGCATCACAATGGCGTATCGATGGGATTCCTCGTCCCATCTCATCAGCAAGCCCCCGTCAAAAATTACCGGCGATACTCCTGGTCTGTTACCCTGACCCTCTACCTTACCGACACGGCACCGCAGTTTGAGCAGGGAGGCGTCCTCCATCTGGAGTCGCCCCCAATCGTCATGCGTGAGGCCGAGCATTCTATCACGCATCTGGACCGTGTCCGGAGGTCGAACGTCCGCAGACGCTGCCATAGCCTGGAGCAACTCCCCAGCAGGGGTTTTGCAGCGTCCCGCACCCGTGAGGCACGTACATGATTCTGGAGGTGGCAGTCTCGAGAGAGCGTCCGCGTTACCATGGCGAACGTCCTTTCTGTACGATACTTTAAAAGTATAGTCCTGAAGGACCTCGAGCCACCGCAAGAGCAGCCCAGACGGTTGTTCAACCCACAGCGCTTACTGAAGGGCCGCATGATTCGACCGCACCTCAAACGCCCTCCCATAGAGGTACGGACGATACACTTGGATAAAATAAACGATGGCCAACAATTCTCACCGCGTTACGCAATAGCGCTGTTCCGCAGGGGAATAACACATGACTCCCATAATCCACGACCTTTTCAACCCCGTCAACCACCTGGGACAGCACGGCGCCAATCTCAGTGTCGCCCGTGTCAAGGAGAAAAGGTCGGGAGAAGTCAGGATAGTGGAGAGGAGGTGCTTTGACCAAACCCTCCCGCAGTGCAACAGACGCCGCCTCCTCCGTCCCCCAACGAAATTTCTGGCCTGTGGCAGTAAAGACATGCAGGGATTTTGCGATAGTTGCAAAGACGGGCACAAAACGACGGTAATAGTAGGCAAACCTGATCAAACTTTGCACTTCACCCACCGTTTTGGGGGTCGGCCACGTACGCACACATGCCGTTTAGTCGGGGTCTGTCGCTATTCCGGATTCACTCACAATGTGGCCCAGATATCGGACCGACCTCTGCAGAAAGTAACATTTTTGCGGCTTGAATTTTTAATTAGCTGCCCGCATTGAGAAAGATGGCTCGCAACCGTTGTTGGTGCTCCTCGAATGTACGTGCAAAGACGATGACGTCATCGAGATAGATGATGCACGAGTCCCACTGGAGCCCTGCCAAAACCAATTCCATAAGCCGTTGGAATGTGGCTGGGCTGGAATGCAGTCCCATGGGAAGGCAATTCAACTCAAGCCCTTTTACGCTTGGAACTATAATCTAAGGGCAACTGCCAAAAGCCGGAAAGCAAGTACAGGATAGAAAAGAACCGCGCCCCTGACAGGGCATCCAGGGAATCATCCATCCGCAGAAGTGGGTACGTGTCGGCAACAGATACCATGTTTAACTGTCGGAAATCCACACAAAACCTCAAGGTGCCATCCTGCTTTTTAACAAGGACAATGGGAGCCCCCCACGGACTGTTGGAAGGGGCGATAATATCCGCGGCTAGCATCTCTCCGACCGCATGGCGAACATGCTCCTTCTCAGTCGGGCTCAGCCTGTACAGGTTCTGACGAATGGGGGCCGCATTGCCTGTGTCGATATGATGGTGTACAAACGACGTGCGGGCAATATCATATTTGGATTTG